GGGTGTTCTTTTTCAAAAGTTTTTCTCAGTACCATCATTAAGCATGCAGTAATTCTGTTAGTTATAAAGGATAGAATTAGAATAGGGTTCTCTTGATCCAATTGTGTACCTACATGGACTTAAACGTGAAAGTCCATATAAACCGAACAAAACGAGTCCCTCATGTGAAAATGTGAAGCGCAAACAAACAAAAATAATAGAGTAAAAAACAGAGGAATATCAGTCACCTGTTACTGATGATGACAATTGAAGGTGGCAGACAAATTGTAGTCTTTCAGAGACTAATTTCTTGCAGCAGGAAAGTACCTGATTAGATTCGCAGACTAATCACAGATAAACGCTCCAACAGCCCACTACGGGTGAATGACCTTAACCCAGTCAAAGTTTAACCGAAGACGCTTTTTATTAGCAGTGTACACCTTTTAACGAGTTCAATGAGCCGAATATTCTATCACACATTTGCGAAAACGAAAAGAACCGACACGATGATTGATGTTGCGACTCAAGAAATCGAAAAAACCTTTGGTGGTTCGCTGAACTTTTCAAGAACACCTCATTTCAAAAGGTTGAGACTGATGACATTTGAATGGTTCAACCTACAAATCTGATGTAAATAGTTAGACGGATATCTCAATGAGAATGTGACTGCAAACAATGTTACCAGGGTAACCAGCCGTTTCGCAAATTCAACTGCAACGATCTTGTGAGGGTTTGTTGCTAGCATTTCTCCCCGCCTCTAGTATGTTCGGGTATCAGAAGAGAAAATTCAGGTTACGAATCCGGTCCATTCACCCTGAGTAAAGCCTGGTCCGACAAATGTAGTCCAGCTCTACCCAGACGTTAACCACGACGCCTGCTCTTCTGAAAAATTCCCCCAACAGGAGCGAGTTCACGTTCAACAAACCACTAGCTTCTATACAATTCCCTACAAAAGATCTCTAAGTAGTTGCGAAACCCTAGCCGATCACCAAAATATGAGGACATTAGTTCGTTGAGAAAGTTCGTGGTCTTCGACCATAAACTTCAAAGCATGTAACCCAGTCCATTTAAAACTGCAAGAAATGAAAATCGCGACAAAACAACGAAGCACTGCTAGCTGTTACGAGGATTTCAGTCAAAACCACACATTCCAGCAGTAAATAAATCGAAATATGGATAAAGGATAAAGGATAAAGCATTTGCCGTTGATCAATCCCTTTTGGGATGCGGCACGCATTCTACTTCCATTTGTACATTCGTAGTGGCGTTTGAATGCGATGTGGCCTATACAATGACTTGCGGGGGCCAGCCGATGTACAAGTCAGTGTTTTTATCCTCCCAGACAAGTCTGGTACCAATTAACCGACCCCGGAGGGAGGCTTGGTTGGCCCGGGCGACTCACGACCCAGGATTTGATCCCGGACCGCTCGCGTGGTAAGCGTGCCACTTGCCACTACACCACTTCCGTGCCGACCGAAATTTTTGGATACGAACGAAAAGAAAGTGGAAAGAAGGTGGTGTCAAATTACGCATAAAGAAGATTAACAGCTCAAGATCGACCGAGGTTGAAGGTCCAAGACGACCTTTCACAGCCGCAGCCAGCCAGCGCCCTTAATCACAATGGAAACCATTCCCAGACTCAGGAACTCCGAACACGAAGACTCGCAGCCATCGTAAACCGCATATTGAAAGTGAAAGATGTGGGCAGATTCTTGGCAGCGTATTTTATATTGTGGGGCTCTTTGGCATCCTCGGAGATTACCGAAATACTGTATCTCCGGCGCGTCGCGACTCACGTACATCTTGCGGTGGTCGTGCTCACGACCCGAGACGAGACATCCAATAGAATTCCAATAAGCTGACAGAAACGAGGAATACCCGCACGGCAGAATGTAGTTATTTCGTCAGTTTTTCCGAACGCAATATCCATAAAGCAATGTGTGGCTTTCCAAGTAACCTTCGCTTAACACAACAAGATGGGATTGCCCGCCAAGTATTGGACAGGATTGAGAAAATGCTGGAAGTGAGAGCAAATTGGAAAGAGTGTCTCCTATGGCATTGAGGTACTCAAAACGAAAAGTTATGGGCCAATGATATCAACGAAAGTGGAGGGGCTTGATATGTTAGTCTACTTGAAAAGGGCAGAGCACTAGTAACTACCTCAGTACGTGATAGTTGTGTCCATCAACATCGAAGTTGAAGTGTTTCTCAGCGAAATGATCGTCCTGTACTTGCCTAAAAATGAGTAAGAAGCGAAACTGAAAATTATGAAGTAATCGAACGCCTCGTCATAAAAGGTGCAAGAAATGGTGAAAGCACAAAATTCAAGTTTCGCTTGATTACTTTTTTTTGCTATACGCATTGACTCACCGGCTCTAAGAGCACTCCTCGAACAGAGAGATCTGACAACTTAACACTTCAGACATTTAGCGCATATTATTCCTTTTCCACAGCTCAAGAGGCTCGAAACAGACAGCGACAGAAGAACTCTAGTCGCACTGTACAGATACGTGGGAATAAGATGTAAAAAAGGTATGTGTGGTCAGGAATAAGTTCACTACCCATGAGCAGAAAAGAACTAATCGTGATCGGTCACCATTGCGCTTTCTGTAAGTCTTCCACTGAATCACGACTAGGGTCATCATCTGTTGGTTCTGATTACAGGGACTAACGACCCCGAGCTTCGTCAGGTTTCGATATGACCTCTCCTCCACGTACCGCGCCAACGCTTACCGCCATGACTACCTGAATCTTTCTTGAGACCGCCCGGCATAAATTTCAACGCCTCCCATTTCTTTACAACGGCGAACCAATCGAAGGGTAAATCATCGTCTCAGAGAAACTGTGAGCTTTACATAGTTTCTTTGCAGTCGATTTCCAGCAAAATCTGTCGAATAAGCAACCGTCAAAAGACTACGCTCTCTCGCCTCAACTACACACGACTTAAACACAATTGTTTTGCTCCTTCACCGCGCCACTAAGTCTTAACCTTGACGCCCCTGTGATCTCACGACACAAAAGAACGAAAATCCTCGAAACACTCCCTCCAACCCTCTGAGCTTCGTCCTTTGAATAGTACAATGAACGGTTGGCTCGATACGGTCAATGTACAAGTAAGTAATGGTATACCAAAATCCCCCTTGTCGGACATTTGTTTCTTATAGAAAATATTCAATTCGGTCCCCACATTCTTCACGAGTTTGCGAGGCGCGGCATGAGTTGATAGTGTCGCGCACATGGTGCTGCTGGACGTGTTTTTCCAGTCTCCGCACAGCTTGCCGAGCATTACTCAACTTTTCCGCGCCCAAGATTGTGAAGAAAGTTGGGAAACCATCTGATTCTTTCCGATTTGAGCGAAAGAATATCAGATCAGAGCTACTACATGTAGATATCTTTTACACCATTAGAGGATTCTAATTTCTTACCCTATCCTCCAACAATAAGATGTCGCAACTTGGCTGTCCACGATCCCTCAAATAGAACGAAGACATGAAGAAGCCGCTTGGTCGGTCGTACTGTAGGACGGCTCAATCAGGCCGATAAGGACCAACGAAAATCCGGAAAAATAGCGACACCATCACCCACAGGACAATCACAACGCACAGAACCTCAGATATCCGTAATTTACGGAGTAGACCTCTATAAATCAGTAAAATTGAAATGTCGTAATGCAAGTTGATTTTAATTACTTTCTTAACTAACGGGAAAACAATTGCAATTGCCAAATTTGAATGCTGAAGGAGAACATGCACGATCACAACGACTATTTTTGAACAGCGACACCTTTTATAAATAATTTATCAACATATAAATATATTTATATAGTGCTTACATCTGATGTACAAAGTACAAATATCACGTGAAACGAGGCACTGTTAGTGCCACCGGTGATGTATATGCTGCCTTGAAGAAAACAATTCCCATCACATGTAGTACACGGATCTTAATCGTATAACTTCGTATAATGTATGCTATACGAACAATAAATAACACTGTTCTGCATTAAATTGTTGCTGCACTCAACACTATCTGTGCTTGAAAAACAAACAGAGGATGAAAAGGAGGTCGAGTTAGTCACTACGATGCAGTTAGCAATTACAATGAAACACTTGGCCCTTGTGAACAGCTGGCTGATTATATCCAAAACCGACCTCCAAAATCGATGATTATCTTTGAATTCAGTCAATACAGTCAGTCATATAATATTTAAATATAAATGGCTAGACTCGAAAGCTACGACGGCCGACCTTTGCCAGCTGTTCACACGGTACTAACTCTGATCGAGCTCAAGCAAAAAGGAAAGAGAATATCTAGCTACAAAATCAGCACAATGACATGGATGGATAACGTAAAAGAAGCAGCAATCTTTAAGGTGTGATCAATAAAAACTGAATATCGTAGATCCTTTACGGACTTGTAGCTGAGTGAGACACAGAGACACAACCAAAGAAACGCGCATAACATAGCTGCTTACAATATTGCTAATGGTGGTAAGATTTGAAATAATAGGCGCTAGTGAATGAATATCACTAGTGTTACATTACACCCAAGTTCTTATCACATAGTAATTGGCTATAACCCCTCAACACGCTATCACTTTTACTATGAAGGTGTTTGATTGTTAAGGACAAATATCACAACTCATTAAGATATGTTAGTAGTTCTGTTATAAGGTTCTGTTCGCTGAAGCAAAACAATAAATCTAACAAAGGATCATGGATAGCAAATTAAGAATGCAATCTAAAAACATGAATTAATTCTACTGAAGGCACTTAAACGAAAATTGAAACAAAATCGAAAACATAACTGAAAAAGGAGTTGTTAGCCGTTTGATAGAGTAATAATCAGAACAGCAAGCTATCTACACTAACGATACAAGCTTTTCTTTAGAATAATGAGCAGCATGCATAAAACCATACCATCTATGTGTATTTAACTGTCGCAGTCACAATAGATGTCATATCATGAAGTTAACCGTCTTCAATCATCGAGAAGTATCTGTACCGCCATCAGATTCGGTGTCAGGATCTAGAGCTGGTACTGCTGACCTCCCCGAGGTGCTTCGTTGAAGTGTATTCCGCTGGTTGGCTGGTTTTACTGAAACAAATTACTCTCTATATGAATGAATATCCCTAGTAAGACTAAAAAAGCCTATAGCAATTTTATAGCATATACACCAAAAAATCAGTGAAAATCCAGCTCGGAGAGGAGGGTGAGCACACCTTGCTATCTTATCCTAAATCTTTGTTAGAGTGCACTCCTTTAGCTCTCTAAAACTAAGGATAAGATAATGTGAACAATCAGTTGAAGTGCTCTTTTGCAAGAACTGGTGGATATCCCACACTCCACACGTCCAGCCCACATCCTATCCAATTTTCTGCACCAGGCCACCCTCAGCCCGAGACAAAGATCTCCGCTTCCTCGTTCAAGACCGTTTCCATTTGACCACTGCAGGCCAAATTGTGGAAGCACCTCAAGGTTACTTCCAAACTACACCGGTACTTATTACAAGCATGCTTTGAATGACTGTTCTCTTATGGCTTCATCGACCTATTTGTTACCGTGTCACGGTAACTGACACCAATACCTATTCGCGAACAACCCCACCGCACACGAAATGTGTCTATGTCTCATGAATCGTGGGCGCTTTAACCCATAACGGACGGCGTGCGCCACAAGGTGGCGCACGACTATTTCTTTTGTTTTTGGAATGTTTCTAGCAATCTTAATATACCCATATATACTCTCAGCAATGTGGAATAACATATCTTCCCAGGACCTGGACGGCTGGATTTTTGACAAACCTACAATAAATTTTACATACATTTTGTCTTAATTTACATAAGTTTACTATTGATGGGTGGCTTACCCATGGTTCGCACGTCCCGAGACCCTTCCCCTAAATATAGCCACATCCTTGCTCGGGGTTGTTGTTTCGCATTTTTCGATAATGTCACCTACAGCTTCCATTCATTCTTTGCACCCTAGTTTTAGAGCGGAAAGGCGGGCTACGAACTTGTCGTCAACGGAAATCTCTTTTTTCGGATGATGAGACTCCGACACCTACTTTAGCCCCGTCTTACCCCTGCTGTTCACATAAGCCTACATAAACCCTACCCTGGGTGGCGGCGTGCGCCACATGGTGGCGCACGCGAAAAATACACTGGCCGTCCGTTATGGGTTAAAAAATCCGATAATCGATCTTACGGCTACAACTCCAAAAGAATTGGGAAGATCACAAGCTATCCTAATGTATAACAAGATCACTAGCCTCCCATTGTGCTTTAATCCGACTTTCAGACACATGTCACAATTGTAACATCGGCCAAAATAATACACAATCCCAAAAAAGGTGTTGATTTTTTGAAATGCTCACCGTGGATTGATGAGATTATGCGCATTTGCAACCATCATGTCAGTGACTTGATCAAGAGTTTTGCCTTGCACGTATATTCCATTCACTTCAAGTACCTGTAAGGTCCCGATGATCGCTGTGATTAATGAAAGATGAGAATAAATCTGAAAGAGATATGTACCTCGTCATTAACACCTAGAAGACCGGTGGATTCGGCTAGACCACCATCTACGAGACGAGATATGAATATACCCTGCACTTTTGCTACACCACGTTCTGTCACACGGACCGACGTTCCATCTCTGTAAATTAATCCTTAAACAAGTATTCGTGCTCCGTTTCCGAATATTATTAGAGAAGCTTCTCCATAAGATGCTAGCCAAACAATTAACTTATCACAGAACCATTATTGAACTTATTGGGAATTGCATGGTAAGCCAAAATACTAAAATGTTAGGATGCAGTCAGGTTATCATTTTCTATAGGTTTACAAAGAATGGTGGAAAATTAAAATAAAACACATACATTTCATTTCATTTCAACAATGAATCATGGATAATACGTTTAAAAAGGCACCTGATATAGAACCCAAGCGGCCTATCCGACCCATGCTTGCATAGTCGTACCCGACGATGAGCTTCAGGCACAATATCAACGTCAATGATGGCAGAAACCTGAATCAATCAATAGTAACATTGAGTTATAAACAGTGTTAATGCTGAGCAAACATTTTGATTTGGAACGCAACTTCCTGCTGTTCCGACTACAGGGAAACTAAAAAGTGAACTGAACTTTGCACTCCAATTTTACCAGAGAATGGATCATTTTAGAATAAGTGAATTACCCGCATGAAATTTGTCAGAAAATACAGGAATAACATGCTCACCTGACGGAAATCCTCGGGATTAGAGATCGAATAATTCCTTCTAGGCGCTTTTTGCACAGGTATCAGTGCAGAAAGACCCTTCCTCCTCCTAAAAATCCATTTCCAACATGTCACGAACAACATTTAAACATCAAGAAATATTGCATACCTATCACTATCTGTACCGTAGCCGTACTTCTCTTCCCAGGACTCGCCTTTTCGTTGGATAAGTAGACGAAGGGTTGGGCGAGCGGACTCGAACGATTTACGAAGATTCTGCAGAAACAATCTGTTATCATACATACATTAAGCGAATACAGCATTATTTTGTATTTTTCGAGCAACACTTGCCTCATCATTTGTTATGGGGAGCAGATCTCCTCCAGCAGAATTGTAACATAGCGTGAAAGGAACGCTCTCGAGATGGTGCAACTTTTCCACGAGAGCTCGAAAACTGTCATACGAGTACACTTCTGGACTTCCTGCTGTCAGAGAAAACCTTCTCCATTCCGAATCAAATTTAGACTTCACCTGAACAAATATTCTGAAAGTCGCGTCATAGCGTTATTCTCGAAAGTTTCATAGCCTTCATCTGAACAAAAATCAATTTCTCAAATAGGATAAGAAAAAGTAGCAGTACAGCAACACTAGAGCAGCACATTCAAAATTAAAGCTATTTAACCTGTAACAATGAAGGCATCGTTGGTATATGTGAGTGATGAATGTGGATAGGCGTCACGTGGTTGCGTCCGTTCTAAACAGCATGATTATTTTTATATTTCTAAGGAAAAAATACACATATCTATTATAAATCCGTCCGCTCTAGATTCACCGCAAAACAATGTAAAAGGAAACAATTCAAACTGAGATATGTGTTGAAAAAATAGAACAACAAGTCCCATAATTTAACTGACCGATTCGACTATTCCCCGACATCGGCTGGACGCGCCTGCCGTCTGAGTATGACTTCTGTATCGAAAATGGACCTTATAACAAGATCAACCACATGACTGTCGCAGCACAATGCTTTGAAATTTCTATTTGACTGCCGTTTGAGTAAACGACCGCGCGAAAACATATTTAATATCTATATACAACATTCAACAATTAACAATGACAAGAATACTCGCAACTTCGTAGTTCGCCAGATTTAGTTGATAATTGGGACTAAAACATACGATTAGAGTACGACAAGGTGCCTATGATATGTGACTTTCACATTCGACGGCTATCCTCTCCATCAATATCGTCCATCGATTTCCTGAAACATCCGATTCTTTGTATTACACTACAGACTTACTTGCATATCAATGGTACACAATCACTGCAACTTTGATATGTTTATACTCATACACGAATTCTTACACTTCTACAGTATTACGAACTAGAAAATCTAATTCCATAATCAATGTACTATCAAAAGTACTTCACTCGAAAAAAGTATTGATGTTTGGACAGTTGATACAGGGATATTTGCCTCAAAATACCTAAATTACTCAGAAGCCTGAAGCTCATTAGTATCCATGAATTGCGCTTCACTCGTTCATCAAAAGCCGTTAAAAAGTAAACTTTGAAGCAAAGGCTATGGCCGAACTAACCTCATCGAACAATGATTCGTCTATCTCCACACTTTGCTCGATCAGCGCCACATCGGAAAGATTTAGGGTGGCGTCCTTCAAGAATAACTGCCGCCCCGTCAATTTACCAGCTAACGCCGCTTCACGTTCCTAAAGAAACGTTCGAACCATTTCTTGTGAACTATTGAACACCTCCATTAGCTGCACATTATAATTGGCAGGAATCACATATATGAATTTAATGTGACGCATAATACTGAACAGAAGCTAAGAACCATCTGGAAAATGCTTTTCCCAAGATGTAAATCCTCTTTTGATGGAGGAAACTATGTGGAAAGATGAGTAAAGCAGAACTTGCTGAACTTTTCTCAGCATGAGACAGCTGCAGGGCCCTATCCTGCAGCTGTATCACGCTGAGGAAAATTTCAGAAAATGATTGCAACAAGAGTCGTTAATTTAAAGAAGACGACTGCGCGCGACGATATTGTTCCAAGCACTAATAATGGAGTCTGCAAACACGGCGTGAATAGAGGAAGAAGGCGCCACAAAAAATGAGTCATCAGAAGAATTTAACCGGACGAGTGGGTGTCAGGGAATGACAAATCACAATTCATCACCTTTCACCCACCACTACTTGTCTCCACAATATAGAAAGGGCAACTAGGCAATGAAAAAATATCAGGAGCGGATGAATAAAAGGCTTAACTGATGTTAATCTACACAATGATGAAGAATAAAGTCCAAGTGATCGCAGAGTAACGAATACCTATTTCCGAAGAAAAGAAGAGTCGATTCATCCTCTGATCAGACTCGATGTATCGATGGAATGATCTTCTATTAAAATCCGTCATAAGATGTCGGCCAGGAAAATAAAATCGCCGCGCAGCATACATAAACACATGCGTGAAAAGACATCGAATGATTTGAGAACTGTTCACGAAGAATAGCTCCCCTTAAGAATCTTGCCAATGTAAAAGCAAAAGGAGAAACAATGTTTTGTTCCTACTCCTTCTACCACACCTTATGTTAAGGGAGATTATAGACGACATTTTCCCGCTTCAAGAGAAGCTTTGAAGATTTGAAGAAAGATGAGATCCTAGGAATTCCTGTGGTTTCCTTTCACAAAGAAGCTAGAGAAATCGGCCCCATAAAATTGTCACATCGAAGTGATAAGCACTCCTTGGTGATCGAAGAAAAAGACTTGTAAGGAAAAAGAAAAAAAA